ATGGATGAAAGGTTGGCCCCTCATTGTGCGTCTATTATTTTTAATAGGGTCAGCTGGCATATGTGCTATATGGCGCAGCATTTTATTCACATAGCTGCGTCCTGGCGTGCCACTTACTGTAGGGATACTTTTATGGCCACGAATAATATTAAATGCTCAACTAAAAAATTACTTTTAGTTAGTGAAAAATCATGTAAAATTATTTTGTCAACAAGTTTTTAGAAACGAGCTTTCTTTGTACCACTGTTCCTTCAACTACCAATTCGAGTCATTTTTTATTTCTTTTTGTTTTGATTAACATAATTCGAGATTTATTAAGCTGCGCATATCAATGCATTCATACACGCGCGTTCGTTCATCCATACCAAGTAGTGCGTTGGTAGAGTCGATAATGCTGTACTTGTAAGGTTAGCTTCCGCGGTGAAAAATGAGGAAAAGTGAATTACTTACAGCATCCTGAGGCTCAATGGGAATAAAAAAAAAGATAATTTCTATAACAATGATTTACGTCAGCGATTAGCTGGGATTCCATGAATCAATTAAAATTTTTCAAAATTTGTTAAGGCTACAATTGACTTACAAATCAAGATTTAGAAACTTTTATATGAAACAGAAGGGTTTAGAATCAGAAATTTACAGCGCAGTTATTCAACTTTTGTTTCTTAAACGATGTGAAATAATTCGATAAAAATGGTTTGAGGAAGCACAATTTCAGGGATATATTCTAGAGCTGCGTTTACGAGTACCGATGGATCAAAGGCATACAAACATTCTTTTTGCAATGTTACATAAAATTAAAAACCCAGAAACAATCTACGCAGCTGAAACATCAAACGAGATTCCATGAACCCAATGTAGCAGCCCGCGTTCTCGGCATTCAGATCGGCATAAGAATTTCATAAGGCAAGCAGCATGGAAAACAAAGGAGCTTCGGAATATTTTCCAGGACAAAATAATAAGTCAAAGTTCTAGTCTCGCAATTGGTAGCCAAGATACCGACAATGGTATGACTTGTCAAAGATTCGTAAGGAAGTCTTGGGGGGTCATTTTACAACATTTCTCTTTAACTTGGCTGTTTGTTTGTTTGTCTGCTTAAATCTTATACCGTAATCAATATAAAATATATATATTTATATATTTTATTATTTTGAACATTAAAAAATAAATTCATTGTACATTAGTAACATCGGAGACACTGGTCTCTTTAAAAGTGTTGTCTTTAAAAAGTAATTTTTAAAAGCATATTATTATTCCGTTGACGTCACAATAAAATGTTACGCGTGATATCAATTATTTTTTATTAGTTTTTGTTCTTTTGATATTTGATTTCAGTATGAGCGTTAAGCAATTCCTGTACAATTTTTATCGTTCTTTGCAAACTTCTTCATAATTGTGAATTGTTCCTCATTGACAAGCAAAACTAAGACGTATAAGATTTTTCGAATGCGTTTATAAAAAGTAATAATTACGGCATCAAAACTAGGACAGCTGGAATCTAAATTCAAAATTAACTTTTATAGTTCCTACGAAAATAGTTGTGAACCAACACAACACGTTATATGCAGCACTGTAAATACAATGCAAAATAAGTTTATATGAACAGTTCAAATGAATGCGCACCGCACGTCCAAATGAGCATGTAACGACTACTTGTACGCACGAGGAAGGAATAGGCGTTCCGTGCACACGGAGCATATGGAGGAATAGGCGTTTCGTGTACACGGAGCATATGGAGGAATAGGCGTTCCGTGTACACGGAGCATAGGCAGGAATAGGGGTTTCGTGCAGAAGTTAATCAAGGCGGTAGCCAACGAACTGGTCCGAGGGTCGAGTCCTCGTGACCAGGGCTGTAATTGAGGGCCAAATTACAGGCGGGATGTTCTGTCCTCAACAGGATAATGAGGGTTCATCGTCTGCTCTGTCCACATGAAAAGAAGATGTCTTCGTCGCATACCCTCGGCCGTGAAACTTGAGACAAATATCGTTATTAAAGAAACATGTTTGGATATCGTGCCAAAGAATGAGATTTCTCTACCAATTGTGGGCTTGAAACAGAAATTTGAGTTTTGGAAAGCGTCACTTGTGACATAGGCTTTAAGACGTAAATGTATATCAATATATAAGATCTGAATTAGTTCAACGTGTAATCCATGATCCACGAGGTAGCAATGAAGTTCGTTGCTATTGAAAGTGATTTCTAAAAATCGAAAGAAATATATACGTGCGGTATTTAAGTGTCGTAATTTAAGCTCTTCTCATGTATTTAATAATGCAGGATTTAAATCGAAAATAACTTAGGATAAAATAGAATAATATATTTTTTATTAGGCGAAAAACAGCTTGTGTTACTCGTAATTATAAATAATTGAAGCGCATCGCACTCGAAACGGCAAAGATTATCGAAAATATTAATAGATCAATAGACTCAATTTCAAGAACATGTTCCAACAAATTATCAACAGGGGACTTGAAAAAAAAATTGTGCAGGAATACTTGAATTATTAATCACAATAATTACGTCGAGTTATTTGTGGTGATGCACTCAATTAGGCGACAACAAATGCACTCAATTAGGCGACTCTAATTACAACGAAATTTGAACATGAAGCGTTCACAACTCAACAATTAAGGCTTCGCCATTAACGGCGTCAAAATGAGAGCACAAAATTTATCTATTAAATAGGAAGAGTATTTCTGCAGTTCGAACACGATTCAGCGATTCATTTAAATGCATTCGGAGCAGAGCGAACATTAATCGAGTTTGAAAAGGTTTCGATGATTGGCCGATGATATTAAAGGGAACTTAGCTATGTATGTACGTCATGCAACAAAGGTTTTTTTTCTTTAACTGTGAACAATAATACGACTAATTTAGTAACATTTTCTGGATTAGTGCATTATATTATATGTTTTACCCTAATGTTCATTTGAATTTAACTCTTAATAAGCTTCAGAAGGATATTTGGATTAACAGTGCTCGAAATAAGCACAAATCAACTGGTTTTCGAAAAGAGCATGTATCAACAATAGTGCTGCATTGATCCCTAACAAACTATTACTATAGAAAGGATCAATAATGAAATAGTGCTAGAAAGGATCACGGATCAACCAGTGCTAGCACGGGTCACGGATCAATTAATACCATCAAGGCTCAACTAGTCCTTAGTATACTTAGCAAATGTTTCGGACGAAGCAGTCACAGGTCACGATGGATCGCCGCCTCTGACTATCGCTCATCCGCCCTCATTTGGGCCACCTGATGCACGATGCTGTTGCTTGCTTCTCGTCGCTGTTAGGGTACAGGGGCGGACGATCAGGGATTGTGCTCAGGAATACGTCAAGTCGTCTCTTGAAAGTCTCCTTAGCAGTGTAAACACATCCTCTCTTAGATCCTTTGGTAGGACGTTAAATAGCCTCGGCCCAGCCGCGGAAAGAGATTCTTACGGCAGGGATTGAAATCTGACCGCGGATCTGTTACGTAGTGGGGGAATCCCGCACAATCTCCTCTTTTCCGGTTACGGTATGTTTCAATTCTGAAGGTCACGCTTTCAAAGTTTGGTGCCCTTCCGGTTATCATTTTCTATTTGTACAGAATGACATACATCTCCCGTTTGCAGTGAGTACAGATCCAGGCGCACCAACATCCCCCTGGTAGCTTCCACACTGCGCCGAGTGTGAACGGGGTCCAGAGCAGGCAGCAGTATTCAAGGAGAGGTATCACAAGGGCTCTATATAGACGGTGATCATCGGTTCCGCTTCTCTTCTTCTGAACGTCCGCCAGATCCACCCCATCTGCGGTTATTGCCGCTATGTAATCACCAGACTTGAACTGAGTATTCATCAACACTCCTAGATCGCGAACGAGTGGCTTCTCTCCGATTTCCGAGCCGTCGGGTGTCAAGTAGCGGCGCTCCATGCCAGCTCTTCCGCTACCTCTGTATATTAGAACCTCAAACTTGGTCCCCTTGAACTGCATGTTTTCACTTGTGCCCAGTAAAATATTGAAGAGAGGTCTTCTCACAACTTCTCGCACTTTATCCTATCCGCAATAGTCATTAGTATCCTGGTGTCATTCGCGAATGACGATGCAGAGGCGTGGTACACTGCCACTTCTATATGTCGGCGATGTGGATGAAAAAGAGTACAGGGCAAGGTACCGTTCCCTGTGATACTCTACTCTTTACCCTGCATGGCCTCGCTCGATCTTATAGTCAACGACAGCTTCTAGTCTTTCGGTTATGAAGTTGTAAATACAAGCCAACAAGTCACCTCCGACCTCCAGTGGTCTTAATTTTCTGATGAGCAACACTACATGGTCAACTCAAACAATTTCGCAAAGTCAAAATACACCACGTCCATCCCGGCCCCCTCCTCCAGCATGGCCTGGATTTTGAGGTGATGCTCCAGTAACTGAAACAAGCAGGAACGATTTCGACTAAAACCGTGTTGCCTTCTGTTGAAAAGGTCAGACTCCTCCATGTACTGCACCAACCTTCTGGCAAAAACCTTCTCAAATACCTTGATTACATGTGATGTTAATGTAACCGGCAGGTAATTTGGGGGTTTGTCTCTCTTCGTTCCTTTGTAGATTGGGGTTATTAGCCCAAATTTTAGGTAACCACGAACGTTTCCCTCTCTTAATGAGGTTTTCCAGAGCAAAGTCAGAGGGACCGTTAGTGAGCCGACACATATTTTCAGTAACACTGCACAAACTGCAGTGACCCCATCTGGCCCAGGAGCCGAATAAGTCTATAATTCTTGGATACTCCTCTCTAGATCTGGTGTTTCAAACTCAATGTTCATCATCTCCCGCCCCCTTGCAGTTCTTGAAGGACTCCAATTTCGTTCTAATGTCTCGAGTATCGGGGGTTGCTGAATACTTTGTCAACCTTTGTTCCTAGCAGTTCGCACATGCCCTGGTCATAGTGCTACAGAGGACCTCGCATCAACTATTACTAACAAAGATCACACATTGAACATGGTACATGATGTGTACTCACTGGAGTGGCTTGGCGTTCTTGTACCATGAGATGCGAGGCTCGGGTTTGCCGTCTGCCTGACAGTTGAGGGTGGCAGGCTCCCCGCGTCGCACCAGAACGTCCGCCGGGTGCTCCACGATGCTGGGCGAGCGGTACTGGCCTGCAACACACCAACACTTCATTACACAAACGTCATTAGCCATCAAACAGAATGTGATTAAGCATACTCGTATATAATTGTTGAACACCGGTAGCAAGATTTGGACTTAACATGAAGAACTCCTCTTAATCATTGTACAGGAAGCAAGAACCTGCAGTACTAAAAGATTCAAAATTCTCACACATTGTTGAACACGGAGACTTGCAATTCATATTATATCTAGCAAATTATAGTAAGAAAACATAATAAGAAGAGATACAAATTCGTGAAGGATGAATAAAAAATTAGTAAATAATAGCATAAAGTACCTAGTCGGCTGAAAGAATGACAACTTAATTTTTCGTGAAAATTAAAATGTTTTCGATATAATTTCCGACGGAAAATTATATCCATATTTGCTTTGTAATGTTAACGTGTTAAACCGCAGTGCCGCGTTAACCTGCCGGTGTTCAACTTGAATAGATACAATGATGGAAGAAATCACAGAAAAATATGTGATCAGAATTAAAATCATCAAAAGAGAATAATACTACACTATAGTTGTGTTAAAGATAACTCAAAATATTTACATCATCGGAAACATTAATAAAAATATACTATCATAAATTACTAACAAATTCTCGATTATTATAAATAATTCATGACAAATTGAGACCGATGTTTATCCAGTTAAAGCAAAACAGGACAAATCGATGCCATGTGCAGAAGTGCTCCGAAATAGCACACACAAATAGTACATTCTAGCACTGCAGCTGTACATAAGTTATGATGGGTTAGATTGATGGATGGAAAGCATTATAGAAGTCAAAGTTGCAGTTAATCATGGAGTGGAAGCCCAGCCACGAGCCATTCAAAGCTTTAATGAAGATTGATTCACGGAATTCCATGTGAAATTTTTAGCCAGAAAGAGTGTCGTTTCTTACAGATTGATTAGTCAAGTATCACGTTGAATATATCAGCTAATTACTTAAAAATATAAGTGACCACGGAATAAATAATTTTATCGTCGGAATGAAAATAACTCATGATACTTGCTGATCATACAAGGAATACGTTTCACGTCATGATGGAAAAAGTAAAAAAAACATGTGATGAACATACTTAAATCTTATGAGCTAGGTACAGATTCAAGCACAAATGATTGAAACGAACATCTTCCAGTCCGAAGAAGAGAGCCAATGAAAGTTAGCATATAATTTCTATCAGGAAAACCACAACACGACTTAAACTCTTCACTTCAAGTAGTAGAAGAAGTTCATAGAAAAAATTACCGAAAGGGCATAAATGTAATGAAAAAGCGAGTCAAGAGCGACGACAGAGAAAGAGACGGAGCGAGAAACTTTTCGCCAATGTCGGGAAACTCAGTCTAGTTAGAATCCCGAAATTGACAACGGAGTCCACACTCGTGGCAGGTTAATAGCCACGCGTAATACAGTCAGACAAGTTACTCAACTTTGAATGGAGAAGTTGAGAACTAATGACGGATGGTGAGCGCAGGCTTCGCAGAGGCGCGCTTTCGCATTATTAGTGCAATTAGGCACCTCCATATAGGCTGCGGTATATGAAGCTTGGCCAAACCTTCGCTTCAATTTGTTAATGCAATCGTCAGAGAAATTTACATGAGACGAGAACAGTCTGATAACTTTTTATGATCGAATTCGTGTATTTTTGAAATGATCAGTTTATGGTATCAGCTTGAATTGATCATGATATTTTATAACCTGAAAAATTAACACAATAAAATGCGACAAGATTTCCAACACATACACCTCGGAAGTACAAAAAGTATACCTATAACCGCATGTAATACATTTTAATGGGCTTATTACAACTTGGCAAAATGAATCCAACAATGAAAAAATTAGTAATTGAGAACATGATATTTGTGAATTAAATAAGACAAGGCGAGCTGGAAGGTCAGTCAGTAGGGCTACATAATTACGAATGACATGATAACAAGAGCGAGTTATTCACGGCGCTGGGATTTGCCTTTGTTTCCATACAGGCTCGCGATAATAAAGAAGCCTTAAAAATGCCCGCGTAATCAATAGCCAATTATGTGGGAGTGAAAAACATCGTCACCCGAGCAGGGAATATCGTTGGTCTGAGAGACTGAATCATGTCAGCGCTAATTGAGTGGATATAAAAACGCTACAGAGATCATGCTCCATGACGTGTCCATCAGATATTATTCAACCGTTTTGCAGAAATCGCACATTTTCCTGTTAAATACAGCTCGTTTGGCGTTAGGGTAAGAGCAAGAAAGTGCATTAATAAATAAGAGATTCAAACGACATGCATAGTTAGGCGTCAATGATTCCGACGATGCGATTGTACAGAAATTCTATCAACGAATTTCATGACACCAGTAAAAAAAATACTGGTTTCTTATTCCAATGCAAAGCGTGCGCCAAACGCAATAAGACAAATGGATTCCGTGACGCCACTTATTCTAAGAAGCGATGGCTCCAATAGTCAACGTGATTCACTGTACGTTTCATGAAGCTACTCATTTTACTGAGACAAAGGCTTCGAAGAGCAGTACGAGTAAGAGATATGAATGTGCTTCATGACGTCACGTTGAGCGTCCTCCCAATCTCAACAGACACGCACGATTTCAGGATCGCAAAGCGAATGACTGGCATAAAAAGCTGCAGTGCAGAACATCTGCTTCCGGCATGACGGCGCACGTTTTCGGGATCTTGAGACTCGGTCGAATTGCAAATCTCAAACCGAAACTCTAATATGCACCTACATCATCTCATTTATGCATACATAATTATTGCTCATATATCAACATCTGAGACGGAGACTGATCGCATAAAGTGATGAAAAACCAATGTTGATGGCAATCGGATTCAGTTCTCTGTCGTATTCTGCTATATGAACTTGTCTTTGAGTGATAAAAAGCTTAGAAAATTTTGTCCCGAAATTCAATGACATAATGGAAATGCCCAACCAACATAAAAGATAAAAAATTAATCTAATACTTGGGTCGTCCTTGATTCGGTGAGGATTTCTTATTTGGCAAGCGAGTTGTTCACAATGACTTCTTTGATGAGTAACCCTCAACACATCGCGATGTCGGTGCTCGGTACAAGACCTCCTGGTAGCCAAGATACATCATTTCTGAAGCCCTCTAATTAAAACATCGCCAACCACCGAAAAGAAGAGGACCGAGAGCATCAACTGATAGCATCAACGCTCGGTCGGTCCTACATGAAGCTGTACAATTAGAGACGCGATGCGAGCGAGCAAATGCGCAGTGAATCAGCAATAATTTAGCATGGCACTAAAAACCAACCACGCTCATTATAACAGGTTTGAAATTTAAATGTAATAAGGTCAGTGAATCTAGATGCAACGAGAAAAGGATTTCACAGGTACATTAAAATCTGTAAATTAAAAAAAATATTTTTTTTTTAAATCAAGATGTAAATATGAACTCGGATTAGACAGCTTCGCATGAAAACCTGAATATTCTTCTTCTATTAAAACAATGTTTTGCGCACACAATTTAATACATCTAATAAATTCTCAATTTTAAAGGAACCAAAATTGGAAATGAATATATTTTCTGTGTTTGACATTGGGTTTTAAGCGTTAATGAGGCAGCAAAAGCACAAACTCATTTAAAAGTCTCAGTAATATCTCGTGCATTATTGTTATCGAAAATTTAGTACAACAACTTTCCATGTTATTTTATCGAACAAAGGAAGGTACGAGAACTCAAGAGCGGAAGCGGAGCGCAAGATAAATTCTGAGATGAAGATCGCCGTCTCCTTCCGGACGACCGCAAAACCGCGGCCAGCGCAACGGACTGCAAGAAGCAAGGTTTGAAAACTAACGCCCTGATCATAAGTTCACTGACCACCCAAAAGGCAGCAACTGCATCTACATGACACGTGATCAACTCGGTAAAGACATAGACTTTGATCGGAAGGTAGACAAGGATCCATAACTTCACTTTTGTCTCAAGGTTCCCAAAATTTATCAAGTTTGAAAATCAAACTTTTACAATTTAACGTGAACCTTCTACCGGAAAACTTACTCCAGAATATACAATATTTCACGCCCACTATCATGAGAGTATAAAAAACTGAGCTCACTTTCGAAACTATTCAAATCCTTCATATATAGGTCTCTAGAAAATAAATTTTCAACGGCGGGATTATATCGAGAAATGATCACATAAAGAATCAGCGTGGGTGTGGGCCGAATTTTATACCCCGTGGAGCGTGTTACGTTCATTTGCCTATACAAACACGATAAGGAAATAACAAGCCTGGCTTGGGATACCATGAGAGAAATCAACACCATTGATGCAATGCGAGAACATTCATGAGGTTACAAATGATAAAAATTCTGATCTTTAATACTGAGAAGACCATTCTTAAAATGGCTGCGACTCAGTGGCCAACCCTGATGCAACCACGCGATATTTAAATGGTTTACGCGCCGGATCTATGAAATGAATGGCATCATTGATAAGGAATGAGCAAGAACTCGTCCACTGAAGCAAATCATAGGGCGGTTTTAAGGCGACCATTAGACGAACGAACTTTATACTACTATGGTAAATATTATCAAATGAATATTTTTCAAGAGATAAGAGTCGGCCGACCATTGGTTATTGAATGGCCATCGAAAATCTGACTACGATTTCCAATGTAGTTAGTTAGCTTGAGCTTCTGGTGAGACGCAGCGGAACATGACGACGACCAATGGCAGGGCACAAGACAAGCCATAAGACATTCATGTATTCAAGAGAATATTACGGTAGGACGCTGGCCAACAGCCATCAAGGCTTCTTCACAAGCCCAAACGTGAGGCTCGAATGACTGTATCGCGGACTTCCGACTATTTATGCGCCCAGATTTATGGGTCGCCTTGGGGAGCCAGGGTAACTTGCGTAAACGGGAATCTGGTTTGGGCAAGAGTGGGTCTATTGAATGCAATTTTTTTAGAGTAGTATCTATAAAAGGGACTGAGTCATAGCA